CACCCCACGCTGCCTAGTGGCTCTGAGCCCGGTTCCCCGCCTCCGCACCGGAAAGAAGCGGCTCCCTCCGGTTTTGCTCTTCCCAGGGCACTCAGCTCCGCCGGGCCAGCAGGGCCAATCTCAGCTCCCGCACCACTGGGGCTGCCACCTCGGCCACAGGCCTCTCCAGCACCGCCTGCGAACACCAGCCCTGAGCCCGGGCGGGGGGGGCGGACGGACACCTGGCCCACCGCCCGCTCGCCGGTTCCGGCAGCCCGATCCTTCAGCACCCTCAGCCCGCGCTCCCCTCCGCCCCGCTCACCGCTCCCACGCGCGCCCAGCTCCGAGCCGCCAGGACCAGATCAGCCTCATCCACGCAGAGCTTGTCACTGCGCAGCAGGAGCAGCAACGCGGGCGCTGACAGCTCCAGGAAGCCACGGGTCCGAAGTGCTTCCTGTGGGTCCAGGAGTGGGTCAGGGAGGAGCAGAATGAGGTGTGTGGGGTTGTATGAAAATGGGGAGCTGTACCTGGCTGTGGGCTTCTATGAAGGCTATGCAACGCTCCTGCAAAGGTCCCAGGCCAAAGGTTACAGCCACCTGGGAGCAGAATAAGGGAGATCAAGTTAGAGATGAGGGGCCGTGTCCTAGTAGCCCAGCCCTCCGCACTGGGGACTACCTGCTTGGGTCCAGCATACCCACCTGCAGGGCCTCACAAACCAGCTCCACGTCCAGCACCTTCACCACAAACCCCAGGCATAGCTGGGAACAGAAATGAGTGTAGGCTGTGCTGAGGTATCCTTGCTCCCAGACCCCAGCCATCCCAGAAGCAGTGAGCAGGCTTGGAACCGTCAGCCGTCAGACTCCTAGCAGGCCCAGGCCCAGGCCCATGGACTCCCAGGCCAGGGGAGACGGAGTCACCAGGGGCTAAGCCTTGGCAAGCCCAGCCCTCCACAAAGGAGAGTTTTCATGTCTATTTCTATTTGAAGAACAAGGATGAAGGCTCTTATCTGGTATATACGGCACCAGCCACAAACACCCCATGTGCCCCACAGCACACACCAGGCATGCAGGCATCCTTTTGCACACAGGCACACATAATGCCTATTAACACAGTAAGATACTTCTCCTGGTGTTGGTACATGTTCCTCTCCGGGACAGAATGAGTGTGAGGAAGGGTATGAAATGAACCCATCAGAGGCAACGGAAAGGAGAGGGGCCTGCCCATAAACCCACCTCTCTCAGTTCCTCCAGCCCATACTCCACCGCGGCTGTCAGCACCTCCAGCACCTGCAAAGTGGTGGTTGGAGTGGAAGAGTTTTCCCTGCTCCTCAACCCCCCTTGCCTCTCCCCCCCTCCAGACCTCTGCCCAGTGGGCTCACAGAATGGCGGTGCAGCTTGACACTGTTGGTGTACAAGAACTCCAGCACTGCCAGGAAGGCCTCCGCTGGTATGGTGCTCAGCACCACCGGGCTAGGCACCCCAGGGCCTGGCTCTGGGCCCAGAAGTCGCTGGAAAAAGTTGCATCTACAGGCCAGCAAGCACCGGTGGGCAAACACCTCCTGCCGTTCTTGACCGACCACAAAGCGAACATCACTGTGGAAGAGAGGGGCAGAGAGCCAGGGGAGGAGAGGCCGGAGTCTAGGCTGCAACTCTAGGCTTTGCCTTTGCCCATTCTGGGTCTTCGCTTCCTTATCTGTCCTATAAGAGACAGGGCTTAGTTCTTCCAGCCGAAGGTTTGGAATACAAAGGCCTGTGTTCTAGTCCCAGCTCCACCCTATGGTACCTCAGGCAAGTGACTTTCTACCTTTGAATCTCAGTTTGCTCCCCCATGAAACGGGACGTTAATCCCAAACTCTCCGGTCTGGGAGGAGGTGGCTATGCTTGATCACGGAAGAAGCTCCAGGGCTGATGGATTACACATACCCTCTCCTCCCCAGCCCGAGTCTTGGGGGAAGGGAAACGCTGCTTGCTCTTCCTCCACAGACTGCAAACTCAGCTTTTTTCAGCCTCCTCCAGACAAGAGGGGGTGGGAGGATAGAGGTACAGAGACAGCAGTAAGGCACCATCAAGAGGCCAGACCACATTTTCCATCTTCATGATCACTTCCGGCCCCAGCCTCTGGGCCTCTGACAATATAGTGGGTAGGAGGCAGGGGATGAAACCTGACTTCCTGGAGCCTCCTGGTCCCAGTTCCAAGGCCTGTGACCTCCAAAGCAGTAGGGTTATGGGATTCAGCCACCTTTGTGGAGGAGCCCAGCTCTCAGCCAGTGGGGACAGCAAGCTACATGCTAATTCTCCCGACCAGCCTGCCCCCCCCCCCCCCCCCCGCTTCAAATAGATTTGTAAATATTTGAGTAAATGAATAGGAGACATGGAACAGAAGAGGTGTTTTAAAGGAGCTCAAAGCTTCTTTATTGGGCTTCAGCAACCTTAGTTGTTGTTAGTAATTGGGAAAGGACTCCGTGACCTGATGAGCCAGTGACTCTGCAGGTGAACTTCTAGGAGGGAGATTTTATTCTTGTGAAGCACTGATGTTCA